AAACCATTTCAGGTGACTACCTCTTGAAGCTCATGGAGAGAATGCCAAGAGTGTGCAAAGCAGTAATCAGAGCAAAGGGTGGCTATTTTGAAGAAACTAGAATATAAAACATGTTTTCAGTTATTTCACCTTTTTTTGTTAAGTACATAACTCCACATGTGTTCATTCATAGTTTTGATGCCTTCAGTGAGAATCTACAATGTAAATAGTCATGAAAATAAAGAAAACGCATTGAATGAGAAGGTGTGTCCAAACTTTTGGCCTGTACTGTATGTGCACATTAAACGTCAGCCCAGCTTAATAGTTTGTTTTCGGATTTATTTTACCAGCTTTGGGAACTGAATGGAAACCTTTTCACCAACAAAATACATTAAGGTCTCAACTATGTTTTCTTTTTACCAACCTGTTTCCAGCCCCACCTGCCTCGCCTTGCCACACCAAGCAAAATCCAGTCTTACTGTGTTCTATTGATTCCCTGCTAAACACTAATGACTATGGATCAAATATTTATGTATTGCCCAATATTTGAACAGTAGTCAGAATAAGAAGTGACAGCCCTTAGTGAAAGAGGCTGTCAGTCTCTCTAAAGTTGCACCCTGCTCATACATCTAGATAGTAGAAATCATTTAAAGTCTATCACCACTTCTCTCTTAATCCAATAACCCTTTCCTCTTCCTGCTGCATCCCCTGAGATCGCCTCATTTTCCAGCAGCAGTCTGTTGCTGTTGAAGGTGGCAGAGATCCAGAGCAGCAGCAGAAGGAGAGTCTTTATGGTATCCGTATTTAAGACACAACTAAATAGCAGCCACTTTACGCACATGCAAGAGCAAATCTCACTTTCTCTCTCTCTCCTTCCTACAGACAGCTAATCCAAGAGCTTTAATGAGCGAACAGAAACCTGGTGGATGACTATGAAAGAGAAAGCCAGAGAAGCCTTTTGGGCCTGCAGATCAAAAGTATTCCAAGCGTATCAAGGAACCTGTTATGTGGTGAGTCACATTATCTTACTGGAGAAGCGAAGGCGAGTGAACACTTGAAGATGAATCCTCACAGCCCACCCAACAGTGGAGGGGGTGAAAAAAAAAGCTTGAAATTAGCAGAGGAGATTATTGTCAGGGCCAAGACAGTTGCCAGGAAAGAGAAGAGATCAAACAACGGTCTTTCCAAAAAATAAAGACAGGACTGTTGCTGGCAACTACTTCTCTCCTTTTTCATCCTCTCTTTCTCCCTTGCATTTTTCTCCTAGGTACATCTAAAGCAACTCCTCTACTCTCCCTCATTTAAAGGTTGGAGCCTCAGTAGAATTGCCCATGGACTTCGTTTTTATCACAGTGTTTACTCTTCCATACTTCATCTCCATTTCCTCTCATCTCTTTTCTTTTCATTCTCTGTTCTGAACTACAGTAAAATTTGATTATCAGTATCTAACACACTTAGAGACACCTCTGTGTCTGCCGTTGCTGCCTACAGCTGTGACACGTTGGTGAATAATCAGGGACTTTAATTCCTTGCTGCTCCTTATTAGGGCCTGTCGACTCTCTGTTGAGGTGAAGCCACCGAGAACGATTCTGCTTTTGAGTCGGGGCAAAATTAAAATGCCTGAGGCCTTTTTAATTTACAGTATCGCTTTCCTAGACTCGTAATGTTCTTACTCTGAATGCCACCATAACCTCTCTTAACAAGACAGATATAGTGTACCACAACAGTGATGGACCATAACATTTCACTGGCTTTTCTTGATAATAGTCAGCAATTACTATGTCTTAAGTGCATTAGTATTTGGATCCAAAGAGAATAAAACCAAATAAGTCAAAGGAAGCAAGATTAAGTAACGCTTTATATAAAGGTACACAAATTCACCATTAACCAATTGCTTATTAGCATGTATATTGGCTCTTTATTAGTCATTATAAAGCACTTACCAATACCTTATTCTGCATGAGCATATTTGACACCTACTAGGTCTCAGACTTAGTTTTCTCTCAATAATCTCCTAATTACAGTTTATTGATAGTACGTACGGAAGTTGTTGTCCATGAACTGTGATCTTAATATGCTTTGTTTCAGTAATATAGCAGTACATTTATAATAGATGTACAAAAATCTCAGAAATGTTCCATTAATAAAGGTTTTATCTCTACTTGTGCTGACTTTGTTCAACCTGTACATCTCAACAGACCTGCATTTTTTTCAAAGTGAACCTATCACTTAACTATAGGGTCTGTTAATGCAGTAGTTGTGTGCTATAATGGATTTACTAAGTGTGAAGAAGAGGAACCTGTGTGGCTTATTAAGTGTTTAAGTACTAGTGAGTAAGTTATGAGCAAGACCTCACTTTATAATGGGGAACATATTCTGTGTTAGACAGACACAGAGTTATTTGGACCATATTAACACTTGTACTTTTGTGTTTTGTCACATAAACATATACTATATTTATGTGTGAGTGTTATTAAGAAGAATGTGGTACTACCTCTTTATAAGGCCCATTATGAGGAAAGCATATACAAATTGTTAGTCATGTACAACAACTTCCCTACTTCCTCTTTTCAAGAGGCAGTAATTATGAGGTTATTGAAGAAAAGCACTGCTTATGCAGAATAAGGCATTAATGATTACTTTATAATGACTAATTATACAACAGTTAGTTCCGACCGAGTAATTTGATTGGACGAGAGGCATTCCATGAGTGCTGATATAGAGTACAACATCACTGGGACATGTAACAGTAAAATCACTCCGCTCACAGGTGTTATAAATATAAATACAACCGTTAATTAACCAGCTGTCACACTCGCTACATTGACGCAAACTGACACTATAGCGTGAATATATACCGTGAATCCGGCCGTGCCAACATCCAGGTTTGCCAACATTTCATCAGCCGAACTGGACGAAGTTACACAGTTGCAGATCAATTTAAATACAAAGTAGCTTGTGAGTTCCTGGCGTGTGTGCTGCGTTGCCTGGCAACAGACTGGGCGAACTGTTGTTTTTTCGCAGAGCTACATAACATACTTAAATAATTTATTTCATCACCTTTTGTTAAAATTTCCTTACTCAGCATTTCCTGCGGCCTCATGCCTATGACCGAATCACCATGACGATGTACAGTACAACATCACTCCCTCTCGTGTGATATTGCTTAATTAAGAGCCATTATGCTATTACTCTATATGCTAATAAGCAGCTAGTAAATGGTGAATATGTGTACCTAAATATTAAGGTGTTATCCAAGATTTTAACAAGTTTAATTAAAGATCAACTGTAAGATGTCATCATGCCTTTTACAATCATTTACTACTCAACCAGATCTTCTCTAGTTAAGAGTTTAGCAACCTGATTTTAACCTGACATGACTCCACAACAGGTAACGTGTCAGGATTGTTGTTTTTTTCCCCATGAAGCTTTTTCTGAGGTTGGATCAGATGTAATTTCATAAAAACAGTTTCTCTCTCTCTGTTTCTGGCTCTAAAAAGCATTACAAGGCAAGTAGATACACAATGCCAACTTGAAAAAAAACAGTGTAGCCAATGCCTTGCATTAGTCCTGACAAGCTAGTGGTCAGCAACCGATAGGGCTGGGTATCATTTAAAAAGTTATGATACAGGAAATAATACCAATACCTTTAAAGTGATACCAATACCAACTGAGTACTTCATTAGATACCTATAATGTGAATGGAGTGGCATGAAGTAGTGGCTCATAAAAGCGCAGGGATTGGTCAAGTTCAGGTCTCAGTTTTAAGCCCATGCAGAATTCCATCTCATTTTAACCTTACACCAATGCTAGCAAACCTTAGACAAAAAGGGCCACGCTCTGCTCTCAGTGTACAATGACGTTGACGTGCATTTATACCAAAAACAAAATGAGCGGTAACTCTTGCCCTCTTCCTGGACGTTATAGAGCCTCCTGAACCAAACTATTGTGCAGCCTCTCAAAGTGAGTCTCTGCACACTCTTAATACCCGTTTTCAACATTCCTGACATTTCCACTCACCTGAGCGATCGTAGCTCTCGTGGCATGTGTGTGTGATCTCGGCAGCCAGGTCCAGGTAGTGTTGCCTCTTCTCCGGAGCTCCGTCGTCAGCCCCGATGCCGATCATGCCCCCAGAGAAGCAGGCCAGGTGGCCCATCTTGTGGTCCAGAATTCCTCCCCTCCACTCGGCCATGTAGGTGAGACCACCAGGTGATTTCTGCACCAGGTTAGCTTCAATCGCCTGCAGCAACACACACGGACAGGAATGTTTCAACCAGCATTTTCTTAAGGTTGCAGTATGTGGACTTTATTCTTATGTGAACTGAAGTTTTTCCAATACATTTATATTGTCACAGCAGTTGTAGCTAGGGTAATAGCAATACTAATTTAACCCAACCAATATACACCAACTACAAAGACCTTATGTGCTGCAATGAAGCCAGTTAACACACACAAAGTGGTTTTGATCTGACATTTAAGAAAACCATTGGAAGTTAACCATTCAAAGAGACAACTTCCCAAATTCCCGATCAAAGTATCAATACACAATGTTTTCTATAACAGCATGTATATGTGGACAATCTTCACACACGGGGAATGGGTCCAACCTGGCTGCTACACTGTAAATGTCTGCATTTATGTGTTAAGTCATGTATGTGTTATATAGCAGGAAGGAAAACCTCTGAAGGATTTCATCTGATACCCTGTGAAGAGGAGGTCCAGCGCAGATCCTTTAATAAATGATCAAGACAACAATAGACAGATGGACGAGACAGAGAGAAAGTAAAGGGAAATCTCTTGATGGAATTTTTCTTTCTTCAGAGAAATCTGCAAAGTTAGGTTTTGTGTACTACTGTCTATCTGCAGCTTTTCCTGTCAGCGCTTTATGTTTTATAAGACAGAATATAACAGCAACAGAAGGACATCTCATGAGATCATTTCCGAACAACTCATCATTCCTTCTCTTTTACAGATTTTGTTTTTTACTGTCTCATCTCCCTTATCCTTTCTGTCTGGCTTGGTGCTTATTTTGCATTTAAATGCAATGTGGTGTAGACCAGTGGTTCCAAACCTGGGGTGCCGACCCCTCTTTGGGTAGCATGGCCTTCTTGATTTTAAGATTTTAACTTTTTAAAAAATTGAACAGCAGGCATGTATCTCAGCATTTCATTCATTTCTGTAAAGAGAACTAAACGAAATTGTTCTTTTTAAAGTTTAAATTATTCAAGATATAAACTTAAAATCTCACAGGACGAGGGCAAAGACCTGAACACAAGCTATATCCACAGAGTCTTCCCTCTCTGCTAAACAACCTTGTCCTGTATTAAAAAAGTATACAGTTAAACTAACCAAAGAACTAACAGAACAGTGGCCAAGCCTCAGGGAGGAGAAAACACTGAATTTGTCAAAAGAAAAAAGTCTATAAAGTATGTATGATTGTTAGGGGAAAAACAGACAGAGAATCCTATAAGAACTTCCTATTAAAACTTACTGAAATATCAGGAAAACACATTTCAAGTGCAACATTCTCTGGAAATAATCTGCTTAAATTCAACCCATCCATAGAGTCTAAAGCCAGAATGTTTGAAAACTTGGTTAGATCTCCATGGTAATTTATGCTGCATGGCTAACCTGGTTTGGGACCGTTTTTTGTTCGTAAAAGTGCCTTTTAGAGCTTCTTTGGGTAGCATTAATCTATAGTGAAGGTCAATATACAAGTGATGCAGATTCTCAGCTGAGGTAATACATTATAAATGCAAACTTGCTGAGCCACAGCGTTACATAAGTAATGCCACGAATTAGGCCGTGCAATTACACTAGCGCTAACTGTATGCATCAGATAGCCTTTTTTTTTTTTTTCTTTTTTTTTTTGCCACCAGTGATGCAGAAAATCTGAGCAAGTATATTGTTTTATTTTATTCACACAGTTATTACTTAATGCGTTTGTACTGTTCTCTGGTCATTTGCTCACACTAGCTATAACAGAAGCCTTATATAAAGTCAGAGGTAGCATTATAGATTAATAGTTCACAATAATAAGGATGATGTTTACTTGTATATGAAATGTGATATAATTCCTTCAAACCACCAAGAAGTTACCACTTTCAATTATGTATTTGTGCTTGGTCCTGATTTGCTGAAGTCTGTTTTACAGTGCTGGTGTATTACAGCTATTAGAGCATCACTTTCACAATTCATTTCACTGTGATTTTGACAGAAACTGAAGTGATTTTTACTTCTCCTTCATTGTTGGGACTGTGTCACTGTATGTATAAAGTATGACCTTTAATTTTGCTGCGTCATGTTTAAAGTGTAAGAGCTGTAGACTGGTAAAATAAATACTTACTAAATAATAATTACTTGTGAATTTGCTGAGTAAGTAATTCTGTGACAGTATTTCTCTCTTGCTTTAATTGAAACAACAGTTGCTTTTTACTGTAAAACTTTTTTTTATATTCCTCAAAGGAAGAAATAGGCGGCACAAGATTGATCTATTTTAAAAGTCATATGATGTGCTGCTGAATGCATCAGAGTCTGAACAAAGAAAGCCTGGGTGAACAGAGAAAGTTAATAATCACAGTACCCGTAGTCCCTGTTGTTTCTGACTGAAGCATCAGGGTTTGTCAAGCCAGGTAATGCAAAGAAAGTCTGAATCTGTTAAGCTCGCTTCGTGGTAAGCCCTCAGGACTCCTTGGGAACCTACACCAGATCATTCACATCGGTCTCTATGCCTTACGTTAACACACATGTTTAAGTCCATATCTCTGTACATTGTATAGTGTTCTTATTCTTCATACTGTCAATCTTTGCACATCCTCCTGAATATGTTTTTGCACATTCCTGCCGATGTCTTTAATTTTAAACAGTTACAGTTTAAAACAGTATGTACAGTGTATCTTATAGATGTTTTTGTTGTATGTTTTTTTTTAACCTTTATTAATGTTTTTTGCACATCAAAACACTAAAGCAAATTCCTTGTATCAGAAATATACTTGGTAATTAACCACATTCAGATTTTGAACACAGGTTTGTTGTACTGAGCAGCAACACCCAACAAAGTGCTGATAATTAAAAGTGTAAATTCCCTTTTGAATCTCAGGTCCAATCATTTAACATTTTTTTGTAACCTTTTGCAGGTTGACCTTAGATAGAAAAGATGAGTAAATTAAAACATCCTCTTTCAGATTTATAAGTGAAGAACATTTTGTTTGTGGAGTGGGATATTTCAAACCTAAACTGTATTACTTTTCCCCCCCGTCATGTAAAAACTTCCCACTACCACTGTATGAGAAACCTCTCATGCTAAATGAGGGTTGATAAAGAAGCAACCTGCTGAGGACAGAACAAAGTAATGTGTATAATATGAAGTCTTACAAATACCATGTTCTCTGAAAAAAAGAAAAAAATTCTCGAGGGCTGCGACTGATGGTTTTCCTGCTAATTAGCTGTTGTTAGCAGTAATCATGGCATAGTATAATTGGAAAAATGTTTTCTCATTCAACACTGTGTTTTAATTGGTAATCTACTTTTATTTGAACGCCAAAGATAATGAGTTGTGCTGCGCCTTCACCTTAGATCCCTGTACAAACACACAGTATATAACTTAATCTGATAGCACGGGGGTCCCTGGCCATTTAAATACCAAGTCACAGGGGAGAAGGAGAGTCTGTAATTAGCCATTATGCCTCTGGCTTGACCCTCTGATGAGAACTGAGGAAATCTCAATGGCAATCTTAAATTATTGTCTGTGATACTGTAATTGTAGCCGGAGGGGAGTGTGCTTTACTCTGACATTATCTCCATTAAAGACAAAAACAGACATATTCTGATGTATTTTTTATGCCCGTGTGTGCAGTGCAGCGGGTTCATTTTCCTGCAGGTAGTGGTAGTGCTCTGAATGCTACACAGCAGAATATAAATACACAAGTCAGTTGCCATCTAATCACAGCTCTAATCACATTACGCAATACCAGGAAGCTTTCCTTTTCGATATTATCTTCCTTCCGTTCCCTTATGACCACTCCACTGAGAACATCTCTGTCACAAAAATACTCCTGCTGTATATAATCATGGTATGCTGCTTTGAATAAAAGCATCCATTATGACTCTACATTCGCTTCTGAATAAGACCCGCTGTCTTTCAACGGGAGAGAGAAACATCTATACATGTATGCATAATAGCTGTGTTTTGAGTGATGGGGGGGACACTCTGCTTGGCACTCTCACTCCATTACTTTTATTTTTAGTACAGTATAGACACTTTCAGACATGCAGCTTGTTTTGTAAATGTGTTGGCAATTTAACAAATCAATCCAATTTCTGAATTAGCACCTATGTCACTTTTACTTAAAAGTTTTGACAGCAATGTTACTGGGTTGGACGTTGCTGTAAAACTTCTAACACTGCTCAAGTCTGAGTTTAATTCTGTCAGATTGAGGTTAAAACCGCAGCAGCATGAGATGAAATATGCACAAATAGAGACTAAATACATGTCGTTTTTTTCCACTTTTTCCGCCCTTGATGTGGGGCCATAGTCTTTTATGAATTCCATGGATAAGTAAACATCTAGCTTAACATTAAACTTGTGAGCAAACAGGAATTAAAAACCCACTTAACATCTTGTCACTCACTGCTTTTGCACTCTCATATTTTATAAAAACAGGCAGCAGAATTCGCTCTCTAATAACATCAAATGATGAAATTGATGAGACATTTTATGAGGGGATTCACTGTGAGAAGGGGGGGTGAACGCCATCAATCAAGCAGTCACACTCACCACGGTCATTAATTAAGGTAACTCAACGTTTCCTTTCACACACACAATGAGCCAAATATCAAGAAATCATCGTGGCTCTTTACAGAAAATTCTGAATAAAGCCATGAGGAATATTTCAGTAACTGACACTGATGTCTGAATGACAAAAAGCAAGCACTATGACAGAGGAATGACGGCGGCGATGTCTGAAAAGGGTTCAAGATGATGCATCCTTCACTCAGCCTTCAACTGTCCCCTAAAACTTTAAGCGACGTACCTGTTGTCCTCTCGTTGTTCGTCTCGGGTGTAAAGCACTCTGTATACTTTGTTTGATCACAGGATTATGCAAATGACTGTAACTATTATCATTTGATCCAAGGGGAGCCATGCCTGAGCGTGAAATGTGAGATTAAAATTTCCATACCTCCAGCGCGTTGTAGTACATCTTCTTTGCATCGTCGTCCGTCTTGTCTGACATCAGATATGATTTGATCAGATACTCGTAGAAACTATCCCCGAGGCCACCGATGGAAACGTGATCTAAGAAGGGGAAAAGGAGGAGAACAAGGCTGTGTGAAAATATTCGGCAGGGTCATACAAAGGTCTGTATTCAAGGTATCTGACGGTCTTGAAAAAGGCTTAAAAAACATTGCGGCGTAAAGTTTCCTCAAAAAAGAAAGGACATGTGGGTGAGTGTGATTTTAGCAAAAACTTAACTTATTTTCATTGGTTTGTCCATTCATTAATTACATGCTGCATATCCATGTTGCATTAATTTAATGAATTACACCTGCAGAAAAACAACTGGAGACCCATCCTTTCACAGTGGCCTTTGTTCCACCCTAAATTGTCTCGTGCTTGTTCCCTGGTATGTTTCTGTTTGAGGCCTCAGTTGCCTGTATTTGCTCTTTGTTTTACTTTCTTTTTGTTGCCTTTGTTTTTAATTATTGCATGTTTTATTGTTTGATTGCTTGATTGCATTTTGTGAAGCACTTTGTGAATTTCATTCCTGTGAAAGGTGCTATATCTAATAAGTTTATTATTATAGAAATGATTGTTATATATTGCTGGGAATTACTGACAAATATACAATAAGCTTAGTTCACATGAACATGGGTATTTTTTGAAAACAGGGTTTTCCCCTCTAACTTTACAAAACATTTTCCATCCACACACTATTAAAAACAAAACTCCAGCCAAATGAAAACGCAGAAGACAACTGAAGGACTGTCGAAAGCATGCCAAACTAACAGGTGGCAATATTAGTGTAACCCTTAAGCCATGCACACCAACACTGAAAATGGAGTTCCTGAAAAACCTTAGCCTGGACAGAGGATGGAGAATGATTGCGTAAACCTGGCCTGTTGGCTGGTATCTGAAATGGGTGTCGCTGGCTAATCAGAGTTTTGAAGTGGTGTTGTATCGTTAATGTTTGTGCAATAAAAAAAAAAAAAAAAAAAAACATGAATCAGTTTCTCTTTCTCTAGCTTGCTCACTTGCTCGCTAAGTAGTCTGCATATAAGGACGCGTGGGAAGCTTCACATGGTTAGTTCTTGTGTATATGAAATAAAAACCTACAGGCATCACTGCATGATTCCATTGTATTTTACAGTGGACATTTGTAGTTAGTTAACTGAGAAGGTAAAACCCTTTATTCACACTGCATTTGGCTGAACTTTCAGTGCCCTTTATATTGTACACTAAGCGCTTTGTTTGCATGGATTTCTCACTCTTAAAACAGCCTAATTAAGCTTGAAAGTTTATGTCCTACGTAGGAGAGAACAGCCTGTACGCAGGAGATAAAATTTCATACGTAGGAGTTAAGTTTTGGCCGACACTGCCCCCAAAAACAAAAATCAAAACAAAAAGAAAAACAAAAGTCACTTGCTTTTCAGGGCTTTCATACCATTTGCATCAGCCATGACTAAAAACTTTTTAGAATTTCAAACATGTTTGAATAACAAATTGACTAAAGACAGCTCAGACTGAGTTTTATGACCCGCTTACACCAAACGATCGTCATCACTTGAGCGAGCGACATCTCTAGAAAATAAGTCATGATTATTCTGACATTTTAAAATAGTCTGTGGCAGTGAAATCACTTGAAATGTTGTTTGGTGTAAGGATGGCTGGTCTGGTTTGCCGAAATCACAGTTGTGTCTTGTGGGAGAGCATCCAAAATATGTAACTGTATTTTTTTTCTGTTTTGTTATCTAAATTTTGTCGCTCTTTCTTGGCTTCTCTGGTTAATCTGTGACATGCATGACCATGTACCGTGAACCCACGCGTTCTCTGTTCTCTGTTCTCTGAAAGGGAGAACATAGTTTATTTGAACTTAAAATGATGTAACACACTTAAAGCTTTTGAGGTCAAATTGAAACAAGTGGCTGTTGATTTTCCTCTTAAGTCCACATTCAAATTCATAAAGATGAATATGATATTGCAGTGGAGGCGTGCACAGGTCTTCATCTATCCACTCATGCTCAGTGCACACACGCACACACCCGTTTGCTGACTCCCCCACAAGGTTATCACAGTGCTGCTATGTTTGTCCTTGACACAGACAGATGAGGGGGAGCTGTGAAGCCAAGATTTCTCTTTTTCCCTTTGTGGCAATAAATATATACAGTTTTGCTTCTCTACACGCTCACCCACAACAATTAGCCTTTTTAGTCCCAGCATCAAATTATCCCCTGTTTTTTTTTTCTTTTCACCTCCTTTCAGGTAAATCGGAAAGATCCAATTTCCTGAAGTAATTGAATTCATTATCATTTTAATAACCCAGAGCAATGGGAGTCATATAGCCATTGCTATGAGCCTGATATTAAAAATGAAAGGAAATAGACGGGTGGGTGGGTGACACAGACAAGCAGCTAAAAGAGCTTTGACACGTGAGGTGACTCAAAGTCTGTCGGTGGTGTGAAAGCCAAATGAAAGAGTCAGACATGGGGAGGAGAAAATGACATTAAATGGACTTAAAGTCTTGTGTCATCACCTTGAGGAACATTGGGAAACATCATTATTGTAATATTTCCTTAACAAGTATAACCTTCCTAGAGAAGCTCAGAGATGGATTTGTCAACAAGGTCACATGTAAATATCATGTATTTTTTCTAACAATGCATAAAAGCCACAGACCTTGTCCTTCATCACAAACTCTATAACCTGAATATAGCTGTGATTTTACAATAATCTGACAGATGTTTATCCAGAGTGACGATCATATATACAGCCAGCACAGTACTTACGTTGGACCCAGTTGCCGCTGACTGGACTGAGGAAGTTGGGGTACAGGCCGTGAGGTTTTTCAATCTTCTTCAGTAGTTTTCTGATGTTCATCACCTGCATAGACACCAGGGTGTAAAACAATACCATCAGGATTCTGCACTGCTCTGGTTTCACACATTCAACTTGCACTGTGTCATCGATTCAAGGCTGGAAAGCATCTTGCAGACGAATAGTACCAGGAATCCACCATCACACCTCAAGGTAAGGAAGTAGTAAATTGTCCTGTAAAGTAAAACTGGAGATGTGATCCATATATAATGTATATCGTACCTTCTCTGTGTAGATGGGATTCCTGGAGAGCTCCGACAGGTGGACGAATTCGAGGTGAAGGGTCCCGAACTCAGCCAGGATACTGCTCCCGGCTGAGGCCCAGCCCCAGCTCCAACTGTTGCCACTGCAATAATAACCAGACAAGTAGACTAAGTCTCATGGCTGTCACACACAGGCCTCCACAGGGACAAACACTTGTATTAGATCACTGCATATATATATACATTACGTTTAGGGACAGGAGACATGTTACAGTAGGAGGGTAACAAGTTCCATCACTGTGTCTCTTCACATTGACCCAATGTTTGGGTTCATGGCGTCAAAAACACAATCACCAAACAAGCAGAAGTACAAACATTTCCTCTGAGGTTAGGTGAAAAGGGAACCTGAGGCGACATAATGATGGTCAACAATCTTATTAGTCAAGACCACAGCTTAGCTTTTAACTATCATTAGTTTTATGTGCTTCCTTCTTTCACTGTTTGTGGGTACTTTCAACAGATTTATCACAGTCACTGTTGTTTCTTTATTATTGAGTAATGCAACACAGTTTCTTCTGTTTCCTGTTAAATGTCAACATATTTACTGTGCACAGAGCTGAAAATCTACTAGAACAGTAAAATGCAAAAAACTAACTAAAACTATGAAATGGCGATGTAATACTATATGACAACTACTATGTTCTGACATTTCCAAAAACTTAAAATAAAAGCACCAGTGGTGTATGATTGCAGTCCATATTGTAGACCTAAATTATTCATCTAAGCACAATCTTCTGAATTTCATCCTGTTTCAATGGGAAGTTCTACTGAGAGAAAAGTTTTACAGGAGCTTAAGCTCCATGTGATGGCCCTGTATTGACAGCAGTGTTCAGTAGTTCTTTGAGTTGTTCTGCAGCCTCCTTTAGAAGTGAGTCTCTCTCTGTATTACACGGAACAAAGTTACTGAAAGTAGCCGACGGAGTGCCTGCTGGACCCCGTGGCCTCTTTTGTACTCCGACTCTGCTTAATGCGTCATAACAGACAGGTCTTATTTTTTATTCCCTTTTCAGATGGAAATCAATAACCATCTATGTCTCCGGAGATCTGTATAATGCATTTCTTCCATCCAAAGTATACCGATCTGTTTGAACATTCAGCTGGTGTCATTTGTGGTTTCCAGAGTTGGAGCATGTATCATCCTGCTAAACTCACTTTAACTTTGAGCAACACCACAGCTGAAATGATTAACACATTAGCATTCAACAGAATGCAACAGTCTTGGTGGCTCCAGCTCCTATAGTGCAAAGATTCGGTTCTTTTCTTTGTGTTATGTGATAGTAAATTAAATTTTGGACTGCTGGTTGGATGATTCCAGCAGTTTGAACACATCACTGTTGGCTGTGTGAAATTCCTATGGGTATTTGTCTGACATTTCATAGACCAAACAATTAATAAATTAATCAAGAAAATAATCATCAGTTGCAGCACTATCAAAAGCTGCATTAGTTAAATTGAGTGAAAACCACTTTAATTTTCTGCTGCTACGTTCATGCAGCAACCAATAAAATACTGATTACATCTTTCTGTAAACTACTACAGTGGACGACAAACATCTTCTGACAATGATTTAAGAGACAGAAATGACTAAGAAAACATACTGTTGAGGTTTTTGGAGTTCATTAAAGTGCAAACTGCTTATGTGGACAGAATCTTATTAACCAAGATGTCTGCTTACCATGTTCATTTTGAGTCTTTTCATACATGACAAATTCTGGAAAAAAAATTAACTACAGTAATTACATTTTTTAAACGTTGCTCCCATGATACTTTGCCTCATGGTAACACATTTGCTCCCAGCTGACTACCTGAGGCTGGTGCTGCGTGCACACTGACATCACAACAGGAAAGAGTCATTTTCTCTCAATTAAAACAAAGTCTCTGCAAAGCTTATGACAAACTGCCAAAAACGAGCCAACGAGACCCAGCAGTGCAGCTTGGTGTTCCTCACTCTGCCTTGTGTCGTCTGCTCAAACAAAGAGAAACAGTCATGGCAACGCAAAAGGAGGAAGCACCTGTGGCTGAGGCTGCCCTCGTCAAGTGAAGTGATAATGCCAGGTCATGTAGTGCCCCCTTGAGCGGGCCCTTGATAGCAAAACTGTCTGTTTCATTACTTTATATTCATGTAACATGTATAAAAATGTCAATTAGATGATTATATGCACGAGTAAGAAAGAAATTATAAAATGCTGTTATGATAATCGGCTTAAAGAGATCAGTTAGACCCAGACAGATGTGATCATTTTAAGAGATTTTCACTATATATGCATTATAAATCTTGTTATATTTCCAATAGTTTATCTTTCTGACACAACTAGAAAGTGCTGGATGCAATAAAATTCTGCTGCACACAACTATATTATGTCACTGTGTCACGATATTAGGACAATCAACTTTGAAAACTGGGTCCATGGGCAGGACTCTCTCTGAGGTGTGACAGTGATCCTGTGGAGATGAGATGCCAAATGGCTGTCCTTTCTTTGATGAACAAAGAACATGCAGTCTCGGCCACCATTTCAGATGGCAAGACCCAGAGGAAAAGCCCTCACATGTCCAGTTTAGATCTGGCACAAGTGACAAATCATCTGTGGTCCAGTGAATCCCAACACAGTGGAGCTACATGTGCACATGTTTTGATGTGATTAGTTAAAATAAAGTTGATTTGGCAGCTGGCATACCCTAAACATTATTACAATATGCTAATAAACTCACCAAAAGTCTATAAAAGAACCTTCACTATTATCTACAATTAAAATACAAAGTCAATTTATTGTTGCCTAATACGATCGATATTTGTGTTTCATTTATCTCAACTTGAAAATTGGCAACTGTGTTAAGATGGCTTAAAAAGTTACTTACAAACTATGAACATCAAGGTCAGAAACACATGAAGCCATTCAGTTTTATTTCCTCAGCTCAGTGTGGGTAATACCACTCTGCAAATCCAATTCTCAGTTAATGTGTGGTCTCAGAGATGGTGCACTAATGCACGACGGTGATTACTTGAGGCAGAATGTACTACTAGGATGACTTTACATATCCTCTAATAGATGCTGGAGAAGATCAGACATCCGGTAATGAATTGAACTGAATTTGTAAGAAGGGAAAAAGATAGAGGCTGAAAGAAAAAAAAAAAAAAGGTGGGAGGTGGGTGGTGTGCAAGGGCGGAGGGGGAATCAAAGAGTTTGCCACTGTGATGAATGCATCCATTAAAAGTTTGGGGGCTACATCATTAGTAGCTCTGGCTCGAGTCACATCTGATTCCTCCTTTGGAAAGAATCAATCAAGGAATCAAAGCAGAGGTGCCGGGCAGCTGGTGGCGTGTTTGTGTGTGTGTTTGGCGAGGTGGAGGGGATGGGGGGGAGAGGTATCCACCGGTACTCATTAATCTTTTCACCCCCTTTAACAAACACACCCTCACGCTCTTCCACAGCTATCAGAAATATAATCAGGTGAGGAAAATAATGAAAAATGCAAAAATCAATATCACATGTCATGCACAACGAGTTGGGGAAATTGGCATTTTTATGCACCTTAAGCAGAAAAGCTAAAATAATTCAAGTCTTTGATGTTGACCAGGAACACACACACACACACACACACACACCAATAAAACGGTGTCCTCAATAGATTTAATGTATATTTTTTCCATGATTGTTAATAATTTCTATAATAGCTGTATTTTAATTAAGATGCAATCAGGACCAGGACTGTCTTCAGCATTTTTACTAACATTGATTTTATTTTGTTTCTAAGGGACTGTGTATGATATTAAACCCACAATGTTGCCACAATATGAAGTGTTTATTCACTCTCACACACTGAAAAGGTTTCTCTCATGGAGCGCTGCTAGACTGTAAAACAAATAAATAAGCTGGATGTCAGAAGTATCTACAAATAACCCTGTTATCTCCAGCAACAAAACAAGCAGGGCTCAAACTAATAAATATTTTCATTATACATTAGTCAGATAATTATTTTCCTCTTTTTATTTTAAAAATGGCTTGTGTTATCTAACCAACAGTCCAAACCTTAAAGCTATAAGGCGAATAAAATCTGGAAATCTTCATATTTGAGAAGCAGGAATAAGACAATGTAAAAAAGCTACTCACATGAATAATTTAAACAACTGTTTACTTAATCAAGTAATCATTTCAGCGCTTAACAAAGAGAGATCTGGTGTGCAGTGAGATCTAAAGCTTCACTTGTTTGATGTTTTGTACCAGACGTAGCTCAGAGCTAAATTTTACGTGCATACTTTTGAAAGGGTCATTATAACACAACACAACACAACACTGAAAACTAAACATACAGCACAACAGTACTTCACCTATAGCCAGTGCTGGGAGTAATTCTGCTACTTTAGGCTGCTACTAATGTACCTAATTACTTTTTCAAATAAATAATTCATTTAAAAATACTGAAATTTAACTGATGGAGCAGCTGATTGATCACATGATTCCATTCTATGCAACCAATTGGCGAACCTCATTCAGGGCGCCCTATTTAAACTGCTCTGTCCTGCCTACTGTTGCTGGTTCCTCTGCAAGCCGCTTTGCAACCCGCCTCCACCCCAGCTCCTCCTTTTCATGCTGTGTCTGACTTATCAGTGTCATTTCTGTTTGGCATTGATGCTGCTTTGTTCTGTTCCTGGGGTTCTTTGCTGCTGCTCTTCCTGCCTTAGACTTTCCATGTAAGCGCATGGAAGGGCAGAGAGGTGTGCTCTCTCAGCCTTAGACTTTCCACGTAGGCGCGTGGAAGAGGCTTTCTGCGCAGGCCCGAGGAAAAGCAGAGGGACCCAAGAACAGAACCATACCGCCAAATATAATACTGCAAATGGAAATAGTTTTCTTTGACTAATGTGTTCCTGACTGAACTGAAGTTATCTGTGATGCGTGGATCAAGTAAGCAGCGTTCAGTCTCTCTGTCCTGAATATGAGTGTGTGATTATATGTTTGAGAGAGTCAGAGGTAAGGGAAGTAACAGTGAAAGGTGAACCACTGCAGGATATGTTTCCGTAAGTTATTGAAAACTTAACGTTAGTCAGAACACCATAGGACTTGCTGGTCCACCAGCGCATTAGTAGTCACCAGATCTTAGAGCAGAGCAATCAATCAATCAATCAAGTATCTGTCACTGCACACAATGGCCAACAGGTCAGGCATTTGGGGCTCCCAGTCCTGGAAATATGGTCATTATTTTTCCCTCCTAAGAATCAAGGACAAATTAGGCTTACAGTGGTGAGTAGTGGTCTTTGTGCAGCATTTGTTAAAGTGAAAAAAATAAACTTCAGTGTGTTTACATGTTTGTAAATAACTTTAATCACTTTTATTTCATTAGGCCTGTCGTCATAAGAAATGACTTTCATATGTCTGAGAAACAGTTATTTTATTTTACTCTGCCGAGAGTATTAAAAACTGACTTGTGTTGTTTGATTTGAAGGCCTGTTGAGGCGACAATAAATAGGCCCATCAAAATCTATTGTGTTTTATTGTTCCACTGCTCACTTTTATCATGGTGATAATGGGCACGATCACAGATAAAATTTGGCAGATGTCTTGTCCCACACTGTGACACAGCAACCCTCAAATAACACAGCATGGATTAATTAAAGACCTGAAGCAGATATTTTAAAGTAATTCAAAAGTTATTCTCCCTAGAAACTAATCAATTTTATATGTAATAACTGGCAAAGTAATTCACTTACTTTTGAGAGAAGTAACTAGTAACTGTAACTAATTGCTAATTTTCAGTAACTTCCACAACACTGCTTAGAGCATATCAGAAAATGCTTCCTACACACTGTCAGAGCCACAGACTGTGCAGCAGGACTGAACCCCCCTGTGTGCTGACTGCCTGCTTGTGCTCCGTTACACACTGCATATGTTCTTCTCAAGTAATATGTATGTGTGTGTGTGTGTGTGTGTGTGTGTGTGTGTGTGTGTGTGCGTGTGCGTGCATGGTATGGACAGACTTGTTTGTGTGTCTGCACGTCACTCCATGCGCCCCTCATGACCACAGTATGGGCAGCCTGCTTCCTCCTGCCCATCTGTACCACAGACCCATGTTGGTGCTGTAGCAGGAATTAACTGTAGAATAAGGTAATTAAATCTGCCAGCAGCTGTCCAGCTTGGCTGGTGGGTTAATTGGTAGCAGGTGGATGACAGAGGTGCCAGGAAGTGTTTTATAAAATAAGATTAGGGAATGGAAGGAAGAGGAGAGTATACTGTGTGGATATAAAATCTTATAAACATGCATAAAAGGAGTTTGACAGTTTAAATGTGGCTAAATAACTTCAAATAATCAAACATGGCTGTGTGAGTATGATATTTTAAATCCAGTCTCACAGGACACTTCATCAAACTGAATCATTAACTTTTCGTTCCCTGGTGTTCATGTGTGAAACAGAAGTAAACTGAGGCAGCGGGTTTGTAGGCTGGCATTGACAATTTGACTTTCACAGTCACTGAAGGTGTTTTATTTTTAGTCTCATGTCTCTCCAGACATGCTTTTTTAAGTATGCAATACTTGTATTTTGTTTAATGTGGTTTTCCCACATAATAGTTAAAAATAATCTCTGAAAGGAGGCTGAAAGCACATCTACTTTTCCTCCCTCAATGAGACATTTGCTTGCATTAATTTTTGCTTTCTCCAGTGCTGATTGAGCTCGACCAGTCAAAGAGCAGGGTACAACAAGATGGCTAGCATCAGTGGAAACACTGAAGAGATTCAGCCATACATGTTTGAGCCTCAGTCAGACCCAGACTCTGAATCGGAGTGTGCACAACAAGCAGACATATTAGAATGTTAAGTGTAGTTAGCATCTTTTATTTATGTTGTTTGTTAGCTTGTAGGCTAACTGACCCTTCACTAAGCCCCGCCCCCGACACAGACTGGCCAATCATGAAGTAGCATCAGCCCAGCTCAGACCAGGGTCCAACAACAACACAGCTGTGCTCCATTGACTCTAATGCAGTCGTTTCAGATTTCCTTCGTTTTCAGGCTGGTTTTGTGGATTTGGAGCTAAATGTTGTGCCTGGGGTACGTTGTGTATTAATGATACTTGTTACCTGGAGAGTTTTGAAAAAGATAGACGTTTCTTCCCTGTTGCAAAACCAAAATCAAACCCTGATCAAACCCCAAAGTGTAGGGTTAGCTAGCTAGCTAGTGAAGATATAACCTACTGAATGTATACACATGCTGCTTTTGCTTTTTAATGATTATAACAGTGAAAAAAAGACCGACCCTGCTGTACAGGAACCAATGAAGGGAAGCAGGGAAACTATATTCATTGTCTTCTGTGGTGATCAGCAGTGATCTGGTGGTTCACTTTTACACTGTGATCTGTAGCCTATAGTTCAGCTTTAGCTTCTAACTATCTTTGTGTTTTTCATACTAGCTTTCATACTAGTAATATACCTAATCTAGTTTGCCTGGCATATGTTTGAATCTCAGATTTTAGGGAAGTGCACATAGATCTCCTTTTAGTAGAGAAATGTGAAAAAACCTCTCTAGTGACAAAATTTGTGCTGATACAAGTCAGTACAGTCAATGTCATTCATTTTAAGGGACATAAACAAATCAAAATGAAAAAAACAAGAGGCACATTCTCCCCTCTCCTGCTTAAAAAGAATCAAACCCAAATCCAAACACAGAGAGAGAGAGAGAGAATTTATAATTCATGGTCAAATTGCTCTAAAAATGAAAATAGCTTGAAGTTGTGTTGCGTGACCGTGGCATTAACAACATCGTGTCAATAAAGATTTTTAGATTAGAAAGGTAATGGTTTGGAAGAGATTAAAAATTAACACAACTCATTTAAATGCATGCAAATATTATTCATATGATCTTACAAAGTGTTTATGAACACAGATTAATTCTTATTCAAATGTTATCGTCATTGTAAAGCTCAGCCTGCAGCTGCTCTATTGTCATTAAACGGAGGCTGTGGCCTAGTGTTGCAACGTTTTTTGGTGAAGTTTTTATTCACAGAAAATTGTACTTTTTAAGACTGTCATTTTTGAAAAATCATGTGGAGCTGATTTTTGTTTCTAAATTACAGATTTGGATCTTCTTTCTCCGTTTGGAACATGCTTTTATGTGCCACGACGTCCCGAGGCTTTGCAACAGCTGAAAGTTGAAACTCAGTGTTGTTGCATGTGAATTAACGGAGGATTTAGAGGAAGGTTGAAAACAATATTAGCTCATTTCCCTATTTGTCAACATGTTTCACTTCAAACTCGGCTCACGTTTTTGAATCAAGCTCTGCCTCTGGTTGCCAAGATGAATAAACTGCAAGTGTGCTGATTAATGCCAGCCAGCGTGATCACTTGATATCGGTCTTTTATCAGGGATGGAGGACTTTTGGAGGTGAAGGCTGCTGCTGAGACTCACCTCCCCAGGTTGATGACTCCTCGGGGGATTCCTGTTGGTGTGTTGAAGGCAGGCAGCAGCTTCTCTCCAAGCTCCAATACTTTGCTCTTGAACAGCTGGAAAGAAAATACAGAAAAAAAGAAACTTGGTGAATAAACAATACACAAACAACATATGTTGAAATATATATTTTGCTAAGAGAAAATCTGCCAGTCATACCATCCAAGCTTAAACAATCACTGTCACAGGCAAGGAATCACAGGCCTGCACACATTTCCCCTCCAAAGCTAATTATGTGAAACATAAGGTCTGCTACTACAGACCTCCAGCAGGATTAAAAGCAATCTCATTGATGTAATCTACAACAGTCCATTTAAAACCGCACTTCCTCCCCATCTCCACCGGGCACAGACTCTCCGAGGTTAAGGCTGAGGCAAAGTTAATGTTTCATCTTATGAGCTGCATTATCAGTCACCAACTCTCCATTAGCCAGTGGGAACAATGTTTGAATGAAAAAAAAATGAAATGAAGACAGAGGAGTGAGATATTGAAATCCTGACAAAGAGAGAGACGTCAGAGGAGACAAAGGTAGTGGAGCAGAGGAAGAGGAAGAGGGGCAAGTCAAACAAGAGACTTGAAAGCCTCGGAGGCAACAGAGGGAGCAGAGAAAGTGATTGAGAAGAGACAGATATGATAGACAGAGGCAAAACAGAGTCTAGACAAAGACAAAGCGCTGTCAGAAGGAGAGTCTGTGAGCGTGGCAGCGGTGTGGAGCAGTGACTCAGCAGAAATATTGAGGAAGTTGGAGAGAAAATAGGGAAAACAAATTGCAATCAGATAGGTAGAAACCACCGGGCTCCGCTATTAGGATTGTTATCACTGTGCAAATAGTCTTTGTAGTCTGAAATTGCTTTTACCTCAGCAAAGTGAACAAGTATTATTGTATAGTTACTGTTAGAATACATTTATAGTGATGTGTCCTCCTTTTTTAAGACCCTTTTTTCTCATTGTTTCATATCTCAAAACAAAATCTCTCAAATCATACATTTTTTATTTCTATTTATTCTTTAAATTGGAATCCATTAGCCACCACTAAGGCAGCAGCTACTCTTTCTGGGTAGCTACATTATAAACGTCTTTTTTCCTTCTTTGTTTTTACCTTTATTTATTCACTGAGAGAAAGCCTCTCATTTGTGGGAATGCTATGATCAAACAACACAGACACCTGGAAGCTGCCCAGTATAATCACAGTCTGATCTGCTGGCCACTGAGCAGCTCCACTGGAGCAGCTGGGGTTAAAGGCCTTGCTCAAGGGCACCTCAATGGTGGTAATAAAGGACGGGCAAGTGCTGCTTTTTCACTTCCCCTACCAAGACTTATCCTGCTGGTTCAGGGATTCAACTGACAACCTCCTGGTCACAAGCTAGTCTTGTGCTTAATGTGCATATTTCAAAGCCAGTAGCTGCATCGTTCTCTTAAGCCTTTGCATGAAACTCTCACATGTCACCAGTGTTGAGAGTGACCCCTGTGGGAAATTTACAAAAACACTGCATCACTCTGACTCTCTCTCACTGTCAAGAGTAAAGGTTGCAAAATAGTCAGAAAGTGAATACATGAATACAAAGACGACTGAATGAATGAATAAACAAACAGGATAGATATTGAATCAACTGCAATGTTCAATATGCAAAATCATTTTTTTTTTCTGTTTGCATTTTTTAAAAAGAGCCATTTGTCAGCCGATATTGTCACAGATTCTGTCAGAAGATGTTTTCTGATTTACATGCTGAACGCTTGACCCACAAATAAAGCAGTAAGGGCACCCATTACATTTAAACTGTGTGATCAAAGTACTAAATACTTGACTGACAATATAAGCAACAATCAAAGTTTGAAAAAGATATCTTCAGTTATTTAACAGAGTTTAAAATAGTTAAATAGCTGCATATAAAATCACTCCATATACTATACAGTGAAATATATTAGTTGTCTGCTTTTTTAATTTGAGTGTCTTTTAAGTGGGGAATGTATCTACTAGTCTATATAGTGCCCTCACAAATTTCCACCCAAGAACAGATAAAATATTTAATTAATTTATTTATTTATTTTCAGTCCTGGAAGGGGAGGAGCTATCCCAGCTGGCACAGAACGACAGGTGGGGTACACCCTGGACAGGTCACCAGACTATTGCAGGTTTGACACATAGAGACTGACAACCATTCACACTCACATTCACACCTGCGGACAATGTAGTCACCAATTAACCTGCATGTCTTTGGATCATGGGAGGACGCTGTAGGACCCACCATAAAATGATGCCCATGGCACAGGCGCTCCTTTCTGCTAACAACTCCACAATGTGCCACTTTTTATAGACAGGAGAATTAATATTGCAACAGTACACCTGCCTGTGAAGATGCTAAATTATGCTGATTAATAAATGTCTGAGAAGTGTATAAAAACTCTCATGTACTCATAAAAATGATGCTAAAATCATAAAGGAGGCTTTTTCAAACTGAGTGCTTCTCACTTTAAACCAGTGAGAAGAGCACAGAGAAAAAAACTGAAATTGCACTTTAACTTATATTTCCCATATTACCCGGTTATGTCACATACTGTACATACTTTTTGCATATAAATGTAAATGTGAATCTTTCCTTTTCATTTCTTCCCTCTAGTTTTATATACTTTCATCCTCAGTGTCCACACGTAATAGACACTAACATTTAAGGGTTTAAAGATATTTTCAAGATATTTATCACCAAATTTAAGACTGACTGTTCAACAAATCATCTTTTTCTCATTCAAGAATAATTGGCAGGATATATTCTGAATATGAGCCTGTCCAGAATTAGGTTTTATGTGGGAATATGGTTATCAAGGTGAGTTAAATTAATCTACATTTTGCCAACTTTGCCAGGTAAGTGCGAGTACTAAGTAAAAAGGTTTAAGGATTTGTAAAATCAAAAATGTGGACATTTATCCTCAGTTATTTTTACTAAAAGAAATTAAAAGATAGATAAATTAAATTATATTAAGTAGTTTTAGCAATAAGGACACAGCAAATTCAAAATCCTGAGTACTTAATGACTTTTAAGGCCCAAATATTTATAAAATTAAATTTAAGACATCTGCAGACACCCTGCTTTCACCTATCTCATTGATTAAGTCTAATCTAATTTAAACATTTTAATATTTGTTTCTACATCTCTGCTTTTATTTGTGGATTCCTGTGTTTTATAGTGACAACAAAGCTGAACCTTGAACAAAAATTTCTCAACTGAAATAACCCAAACTTTTCTAATACCGAAGCCAGAAAAATATAACTGCAGGTTAAAGACAAGCCGTTTGTGTTTTTACAATAAGGTGGTAAAAAGAATATTGAGTTGAAACTCCATATTCGTTCATTAGGTATCAGGTGTTTCAGAAATCTGGAAAAAAGACATTAATATTTTTTGTCTATCTAGAGCCCCCATGTACCGTGGCTATGAAGCACTCAGTCAGTCATAAGGTGGTGGGATGGGAGCAGGGTGGCGTTACACAGTCACTTGTTAACTCTGGCAGAATAATACAGAGCAGCCTCAGCCTAATGTGTGTGTTTGTGTATGTGCTACGCTCTCTCTCCAGTCCCCTGGCTCTCTATTTTATCAAAGAGAGCACTAATGACCCTCCGCCTGGTCCCATCTCTCCTCATCGGCCCTTTCTACCACTGCCGACGCCTCTGCTGGAGCAAAGCAGAAGCCCACAGGCACACACACGCGTTCAAAGCAGACACACACTCAAAATTCAAAACAAGCACACACACACACAAACTTGCTTTCGTTTATGTGCTGGGCTTGCATCACTTTGAATTTCACTACAGAAATATACTTTGGTTTGTGTAACCATACACTTTTAAATGAAACAGACAGAAAACACACACATGCATTCTTTGTCGAATATGAAAGACTTAAAGACTCGCATCAAAAAGCAGGGGCAGCAGATTATATTGCACTCATTTATTCTTGTTTGCTTGTTTATAAATTACTTGATTAATTATAGTAAAACCCCTTTGGCTGGCAGCTGCTCTGTGATTTACTGTACGCAGCACACAAGCTAAATTAAGGGCCGTGTTCATAAATCCGTCTTCTCTGACACATCGCTGGTCTCTTGTGCAACTCAGTGAGCCTCCTCCAGCACGTGCCCTTCATTACTGAAGTGCTACTGTAATTATACTTTGTGTGTTTGCACCGCCCCCCCATCCATCCATCCATCCAATGATGCAAAGCTATCAAGGAAATCCAAGATTGGTTATTTTTACTTTTTTTTTTCTTAACTCCCCTGCCTCTGATAAGATGGCAGGATGGTGGAACTCAGCAAATACCAACATTGATCCGACGTGACAGCCGACAGGTCGCTTTCTTCCCTTTCAGTTGGCATTCCCTGTAGGATGGCGGATGGGAGGCTGGACACAAATGGTGTTTTCTATCAGCTCTTAACTGCTGAAGACACGCATCAGGCATGCAGTCCTTTCTCCCACAGCAAACACCGTCAGAGCCCAGTGGAGAGACACTTCGGGAAACATTTTGAGGTCTGCCACTTCTGTTTACTAGTAAAACCTCTCAGTCCTCGTCTCAGGCAACAAAGGACACGAGAAAAAGGGCCCTACGCACCCTTCCATACCAGCTATAGATTTACATTCTTAGCTTTCCATTCATCCAGCTGTCTGTGCACAATATTGCTGTCAATGACTTTTTGCAACAACTGAGAGAAACTAATTATTGGTTTCGTGGAGCGTGTCGCCATAATGAATTAAATAGTTGTATTTCATTCTCACTTTTTTCAGTCACAAAGTCAGAACACGACCCTGGAAGAGGCTGGCAAACAAACAAGACAGAAAGAGATGTACTACAGTGGCAGCACATCAACTTAATGTTACTAATAACCGATTCTATCAAACTTGGAGAGGAGAGAACACAGTTTACTTGTTTACTGTTCCGGAAATTCACTCAAGTGTTTTATTTACCTCATTATTTTTTTTTTTAATAGACAGGACAGTAAAGTCATGAAGTACTGAGAGATGGACTAACAAACTTTTGGTTATGGTTTTAATTTTGATTTGTTGACAATAATAAAA